CCAACAACCACAGGTGAGGCCCCAGGTGTCTCCATGGTGGTCCAGCGTCAGGCCTCAGGCAGGCCGGAGAGGTTTCCATTGCTCTCCCTGACCCTCAGGTGAGGCTCCTGGGCTCTCAGCCAGTCTGGAACATTCCCAGTGGATCATCTCTGTTTTCTGGAAGAGGGAGATGGGGCTGTTCCCCACCGAGGCCTTGGAGTCCCTTTGGGGAGCCCAGAGCTGGGTGAGGCTCTGATGCTCAACATGGCGCGTGCATGGGGTCATGCCTGTGTGCACACTGGCTGTTCTCAGGGGACAGCACACCCACAGTCACACAGCAGAGCTGCTAGGAAGGCGTGGGCCACTGCTGACGTCCCCAACGTGACTCCACTTGATCGTCGTTTTTAACTGGTCAAGAATCACTACCTATATTGCAGCATTATTTACCATAGCTAAGATATGGAACCAACCCAGATGCCCCTCAGTAGATGAATGGATCAAGAAAATGTGGTATATATACACAATGGAATTCTATGCCTCCATCAGAAAGAATGACATTGCCCCATTTGTTAGGAAATGGAAAGACTTGGAAAAAATTATATTGAGTGAAGTAAGCCAGGCCCAAAGAAACATAGGTCCCATGGCTTCCCTTATTTGCAATATCTAGTATATGTATGAGTCAAGCAGAAAAGGTCAGATAATGTGATGTCAGGAAAATGAACCCTTAGATAGGTATTTTAATGTTTTTTTTTCTTTCATGCATGTGTTTCTAACGCATTTATAAGATTATCTCTTTGTTGCTTTGTATGTCCCTCCCCCACAGTATAACCCCCACTTTCAGTATATTTGATGTCTGTATAACTTGTGGAGGAGATGGGGAAAAACAAGTCCTTTAAGGATTCAGGTGGACCTGTTGCAACAATGAGAAGTACAAATTGTCATGTCAAAAACGAGCTTTACAATGTCGGTGGGGGGGGAAGGATTGGGTGGGGGGAAGGGGGGAGGTGAAGTGTAAACAAAGGAGGAGGCTGCAATGCTTGGTAAGAAATGTACGCATTATCCTGCCCATGTAATTGTAACCCCTCTGTACAGTATATTCACAAATAAAAAAAAAAAAGAATCACTACCTACTACTCTACAGCCTAACTGTGCTCGGCCTGGAGATGGAGACACGATGCCCAACCTGCCCAGGCCTACCCCACTGCTGAGGACAAAGCCAGCCAGACATGAGCCGCCTCTGCTGATGGCAATCCTTATCTTCACTAGCACAGGCCGAAAACATCATCGTCTCTGACCCTCCCTCCCACCCTCCCCTTCCCTCTCGCTCGCTCTCTCGCTCTCTCTCTCATCCCACAAACAGTCTGATTCATCTCCCTCCTCTGGTTGGAATCCTTCAAGTGTGGCACATCCAGCGATGCACATTCCCTCCCTGTGGCACATCCAGCGATGCACATTCCCTCCCTGTGGCACATCCAGCGATGCACATTCCCTCCGTTACGGCTGCTGCCCTGGCGAAGTCTCCAGCCATAATCACCTGAACCACACTAAGTCGGCTCACATCACTGATTGCTCAGCCCCGCCCTCAGTGGGTCTGTTTCCTTCAAAGCCTCAGTCTTGGCCACCGCCTGCAGGCCCAGGCCAGTCTTCCCAACTGCATGCTGACCGTACCCTCTGGGGCCCTGGCATCGCCTGCTCCTCCAACGAGCTCAGCCCCAGGACTCTGCAGCAGGTGCGGCGTGTCTGGAAAGCTCTTCCTCCCAGCTCTGCCTTCCTCAGATCATCCGCAACGAGACCGTAGCCCTTCTGCGAGACTCCCGCTTCCTCTCATTCCTCTCTGACATGCTCCAATGTGCGGGGCCCCGTCCAACGCACGGCAGTGGATCCACACCTGCTTTTACTTTAGTTTTCGGTGTCTCTACTGGCACACTAGGTTCCACATGAGCAGAGTTTGTTTATGTGGTGCACGGGTTTACCCTAAGTGCCCAAGCATTATTTCTCATCTTCCAGGGACCCAGACCCCCCCCCAATCTTGGATGGAACCTTCTCCTGGTGCTACTCTCGACTTTTAAAATCTTCCCATTCTCATTCCACAAATTTCAGTATATTCTCCTGCCCAGCATGTGAACTCACCAAACATTCTGAAAAGCTGTGTGTTCATTGATCTCATGACTATAACCAGATATGATGTAAGTGACGCAGTCTAGTGATGTATGTAACTAACATGAATTCAAAAGATCCTTTCTCTCCGAAGTCATCTCCCAGGCTTCCTTCTCTGCGTGGATGAACGGAGGTGGCCGTGTGCACGCATGCAGCCGGCGGGGCGTGGGGCTGCAGCAGGGAGGGAGGCTCCGAGGGCAGAGCCCCTTCTGGAGGAAGCGCAGGCCTGCCTGCCTCCCACGCGCTCCCTGCTCCCCTCCACAGTCCCCCCCACCCCGCTCACTTCCGCTCCTTGGCATTCAGTGTTTGCTACCGTGGCTTCCTCCAGCAGAAAACAGGTGCCTGGTCACCCATGTTTCCTCCATCTGTGACTACGCCAGAGGAAAGTGCAGGAGTCAAGGGCGGACTGCTCCAGCGAACGGTGCCTTCAGTCACATATTGATGCTTCCACACATCGAAGACACTTTCCAAATACCAAGACCCATCCTGTTAGAGTTTTACATTATTTTTATCTGCAAGGGGGTGGGGCTCTGCCCAGAGAGTCTCCAGGCAGCAGGAAGCAGCTGATGCCAATCCTGCGAAGATGGATTTATCCGTGCCCTTTGCCTCTGTGTAAGGCTGAGGTTCTAATTTCAGTTTGTGTGTGAAGAAAATCTCTGTCAGGTACACTTACTAAGCCGTCACCTCTTTTCTGCTGTGTCGTAAAATACACCAAATGGGGAAAACCCACATAGCAAAATTGATGCCATCTGATTATATAAATGGGTGTGTGGGGACCTGCCGTGAGTTCAATTCACTAAGAAACAAGAAAATGTTTCCTTAAAATAAGACTCGGTTCTAGAGTGCGTTTTAATTTGAAACCTGTCCTGCTGTGTCAGCGATCTCACGTAACTCCAGGATCGGAGTTTGCAGCCATCTTCAGAAGCGGAGAGGGCCGGAGCCCTGGCTGCCGCCGGACGAGACCCAGGACTTGGCACGAGCTGCCTGGACTGCCGGACTTGGCGAGGTCTCACCCCACATCTTAGGGGACAGTGGCACCTGGCCATCTTCCTCCGTCACCCACCCACACAGTCCTCGCCCATGAAACATTTCACAACTCAGAGACTCTGACGTTCCAAAAGGATCCGTGGCGCCGTTCTCTGGCCGAGTGCACGCGCGCACGCGGCATGCCCCTGACTCACCACAGAGACTCCGGGGGACCGCGGGAGAGGTGACTCTCACCCTGGGCTGCTGCCCTGAGAAGGCGGCTTGGCAAGCAGTGGCGCTCCAGGAGGAGGTGAGTGTGACCCTGGAGAGAAAGGCTGAGCCACGGGGAAGTCACCGTCACACGCCGCAAAGCAAGCCGAAGAGCCGCCATCGGGTGGCGGAGGGTCTGGCTGTGGTAAAGGGATAGGCGCGTTCTGCCAGCGGTGCAAGCTGACCACAACGCCCGGCACACGGGCCTGGGGGCCGACGGCTCACCACACGCCCCTGCCAGGGCGGGCGCCCACCAAGTCCTCCCGCAGGGAGCACCCACCAAGTCCTCCAGCGGGGAGCGCCCACCATGTCCTCCAGCAGGGAGCGCCCACCAAGTCCTCCAGCAGGGAGCGCCCACCAAGTCCTCCAGCAGGGAGCGCCCACCAAGTCCTCCCGCGGGGAGCGCCCACCAAGTCCTCCAGCAGGGAGCGCCCACCAAGTCCTCCAGCGGGGAGCACCCACCAAGTCCTCCCGCAGGGAGCACCCACCAAGTCCTCCCGCAGGGAGCGCCCACCAAGTCCTCCCGCAGGGAGCACCCACCACGTCCTCCAGCAGGGAGCGCCCACCAAGTCCTCCAGCAGGGAGCGCCCACCAAGTCCTCCAGCAGGGAGCGCCCACCACGTCCTCCAGCAGGGAGCACCCACCACGTCCTCCAGCAGGGAGCACCCACCACGTCCTCCAGCAGGGAGCACCCACGACGTCCTCCAGCAGGGAGCACCCACCACGTCCTCCAGCAGGGAGCACCCACCACGTCCTCCAGAAGGGAGCACCCACGACGTCCTCCAGCAGGGAGCACCCACCACGTCCTCCAGCAGTGAGCACCCACCAAGTCCTCCAGCAGGGAGCACCCACCACGTCCTCCAGCAGTGAGCACCCACCAAGTCCTCCAGCAGGGAGCACCCACCACGTCCTCCAGCAGGGAGCACCCACCAAGTCCTCCAGCAGGGAGCACCCACCACGTCCTCCAGCAGGGAGC